CCCCCCCTCAAAACAGTAAGTTCACATCTCTGAACAGTTTGTGTCTTGTTCACACCAGATATGAATTTATTCATTTAAGCAAATTGCATGTGTTTTGGCACATGTGCAAAAAAGATGAAGTTGATTCTCTGTAAAATTCTCAAATTCTTTAAAATAACTCATTTGGATATATTTTAAAATGTAAACACGGTTTTCCTGTGATTGTAAAGCTGAATTCTCAGCATCATTGTTCCAGTCTTCTGTGTCACATGATCATTCTAATATGCTGATTTTTTCTTTTCTTTTACTTTTATGTGGCAAGTATACATTTAAATGATTAAAAGTGACCATAAAGATGTTTTTAATGTTGCCAAAGATTTCTATTTCAAATAAATGCTGTTCTTGCGAAATGTCTGTTGATCCTAGAATCCTAAAAAAGGTTTTCACAAAAATATTAAGCAGCAAAAGCACTGATAATAAAAAAAAGAAAATAATTGTGCACCATTAATGATCAATAATAACACCAAATCAGCATATTAGAGTGATTTCTAAAGGATCATGTGACACTGAAGAGTGATGATGATGAAAATGCAGCTGTGCATCACAGGAATAAATTACATTTTAAAAATATATTCAAATAGAAAACAATTATTTTAAATAATCGTGGGTGCGCATAAGAGACTTCTTTCAAAAACATTGTTTAAAACAATTTTATTGCAAATAAAGTAAAACAAAAAATGAAATTTGTATATATCCAAATATTTCCAGGGTTAATCAGTACGGCTCACACAATGAAAAAAGGCCTTTAACTGACAGAAAACCTGGTTTTGAAGAATAAATCGATTGTTTGAGGTTACTACTTTTGACAATTGCATTCACAGTTTAGAGAATGCTGAGACTGCTTTTAACAAATGAGCCAAAGGGATTGACAAGAACTAAAGTACCAAAGTATGTCATGTCACCTTTTTCACGATGGTCTCTCCCTGTCTTTGGCTCTGTTTGGTCCCTCAGGAGCAGATCAACAGTTTGGTGAAGCAGGTGTGTGGTAAAGCCCTGGTGAAAAGCGCAGCAGACGGCTGTAACGGCTCCAGCCCCACCAAACCGCCCGCCAAGCGTGGCCCCCGCAAGAGATCCGCCGTGGAGCTGTCCCTGACCCACCTGTCCAAAAGTGCCGCCGCCGCCGTCTCGTGAGGAGCGCCGCCCGGCCGCCTACGTCAGCCAATCGATTTTCCTCTCCCTCTCTTCATATCGTTTGTGTCTTATCACCCACATAGCAGGGCAGAGTTTCCTGTGTTGAAAGCAGGCTGCCTTTTTTGCACTAGCGCACTAGTTTGTATTCACCAGATGTTTGATAGCATTAAGAGACATGGTCCCAGGTGTGCATTTCACTGACAGGTGTGAGTATGATGACATCCTTTCTGCCTGGACCCTCTTCCTCCTCGTCTTCGGCCCCCTTGACTGCACACACGCTCCTCCTGAACTGTGAACCTTGGGACAAATGGGTGCTTCTCTCCTCGTTTTTCCAGACCCCTTTCCTTTGAATGTTGGTGCTCGATGGAGCTGCCCGAGAATGCTTTTTTGTTTTTGTTCATTTTGTTTTGGTGTTTGCTTTGGGGTTTTTTTTTCTTTTCATTTTGGCCTTATTTTGGTGTTTGATTTGGTCTTTGTTTGTTTTTTTGTTTCATTTTGTTTTTTGCTTTGTTTAGTTGCTGTTTTTTGTTATATTTTGGCATTTTCATTTTGTTGTGATTTTTGTTTCATTTAGTTTTTGTTTGTTTTCTTGTTTAGTTTTTTGTCTTGCTTTTTTGTTTTGTTTCCTTTTAGGTGTGTTTTGGTTTTGTTTCCTTTTGATGTTTAATTTTTGTTTTGAATTGAATTCGTTTAGTCCACATGCAGCTCCTCTGCGGGAATACGCAGCTCTAAAGACAGTAAACACTTGAAATTTAGCTTGTTTTAATATCTGCTTTTTTAATTTATTTTTTTAAAAAGAGGAAATAGTGTGTTTTTATTTCGACTGGTTTTTATTTCACACTTTCCTCTGTGGATTCGGTGAATGCTGTTTTCCATGGCAGCATGTTGGGCTGTACTTGAGGAAGTGGGTGTTAGGGATTGAATGAGTGGGTCCCGTCCCGGCAGTGAGAGGGGGACGCTTACGAGCGATACCGGTGCCTGATGTTTAGCGGGGAGATCTTTCTTTATTTTGGTGCTGTTGTTTTTGTTTTCGTTTTTTTTTTACTGTATATCAATACAAAAAAGGTAATAAGAAAGAAGTGCTGTTCGCTAGCCTTCTTATCCCACAGGACGGAAGAGCCCGGAGGCTTTTTCTGCTTCTAGATGTGCAATCGTGTCAACATTCCATTCTTCCAGACTTATTGATTCATCTGTACCAGTTAACATTAATTATTATATTATATTATTGTAATTATTATATTTTGTGTTTTTGACTTTTTATTTTCTCTTTTGTTCTGATCTCAATTTAGAGCCACTATTCAGAGGGTGTAAAATGTGAAATACAATTAATTTTTTCTTTTTTTTTTCTTTGTTGTTTCTTTTTGTTCTGTCTTTTCCTTTTTGCCGAAGTATCATTGATTTAAAGAAACGTAAGAAAATCACCTTTTTGTACATAATCCTGTAAATGTCTTTAATACTTGAGCCTTTGTTGGAGTGACAGAAGGAAAGGATAGATAGATAGATAGATGGATGATGTCAGATGAAGAAAAGCCTTACATTTCAGTTTCTTCAGCTGTGGGAGTTTGATGCGTAAAGGGTTGCTCTGGTAATGTGTATAACTTTTAAGTGCTGCTTACGTCACTGAGGACTAAGAAACGGAGTCGCGATTTCCCCCTAGTTTTGTTTTTTTAGGTTTACTTTTTTAAGGAAAAGGGAAAATACTTCCACAAAAAAAAAAAAAAGGTTTTTACATTTTCATTACTGAAAATTCAACATTGTAGTAGCTACTCATGTTGCACTGAGCTTGCCAGGGGGAAAAAACTATAATCCAGTTTGTTGGTTGTTGTCCTTAACAGAAGACTGAACTGTTTTAGGAGTATTTAAAGAAAACCAAATCGAGTTTTCAACAAAAAAAAAAACAGCTTTTGTCAAGTTTTTATGGCCTTACGATGTATTTTATTCAGAAATGTTGTTGTTTTTGTTCCTTTTTCTACAATATGAGAGATTTGCTCACGGTCAGGCGAGTTAATTTATTAGCACTCAGCTCTTTCTCTCATGAGGAAAGATTTCATGTTGGTTATATTGACAGTTTTATTTTGGTTTGCTTTTTGTTTTTTTACTTTTTTCAATTTGTACTTAAGGTTTAATAAAAACTCATGGACAATTCCCTCTCAGTCTGTGCTCTTTGTTACTGAACTTTATATTGGTTTAAAGAGGAATGTGTTGAACAAGGGAGTCTTTTCTGACACATGGACCCCTACACTCTCAGATGGCTTTGGTATAGCTTCACAAAATGTATATCTTAATTTTATTAATGTTATTAATGAGTTACAGGATACTCGCAGTTAAATATACATTTTGAAATAATACCTAATAATAATGTAATGATATAAAAATACTTAAAATTTGTCTTTTTACATTTTAGTTTTAGTTTTATACTCTTATTTGTAATAGTTTTAATAGTGGTTGTAGTAATAATACTATAATAATCTGATATAATTAAAATAATTAAAAAAAAAATAAAAATACTTGAAATTAAAAATTTCATTTTATACAATAATACTTTTAGCCAATTTTTATTCAATTATTTAGTTACTATTTAGTACTACTAGCAATGTGTAATAACAATGATTATTACATTTATTATTATTATTTAATAGTGATTGTAGTAATACTACATTAATCAAAATACTTAAAGTAAACTCTTTAAATTTTTTGTAATAGTAAATTTAGTTGAATTTTAGTAGTAGTAATTTTTGTTCTAAAAAAAATACCCAATCAGTCTTTATTAAATTATTTAGTTACTATTTAGTACTACTAGCAGTGTAATAACAATGATTTGCCATTTTTATTATTATTATTATTATTAATAGTGGTTGTAGTAATACTATAGTAATCAAAATAAAAATATTTAAATGTTAAAAATCCTGTTCTAGACCAATTAGACCAGTCCACAGAATAATATATTTTTAAGCATATTTTACCAGTCAAGGATCTGCTACAACTGACTATTTAAATGCTGAATTTTGCATTTTAATTTTGCTCCTTTATCTCCACATGGTTTTCCCTGCTGTAGAAACAGGCTGGCAATGTAAAGTATTGACGCTTGGCCCAGAGCCTAAATTGTGCTGTTTTCATCATAATAATCAAAGTCACTCTGGTGAGCCTGAGGCCTCGAAAGCATGATCGATTTTATACATACAGAGACCGACGTGTACCTCACGACATAAACATCCCTTTTGAATACATTTTTGAACATTTGTAATCTAAAGCCATTTTTAAAAGCTGGAAATACTCCAGGTATGGATTTACAAGATGTGAGACCGATCAAACTAGTTGTAGAGTGGAAAGAATATAATATAGATAGTGGCCTATGTTATAACACTGTAACTGACAACAGTGGCACAGAGGGGCAAACAGCAGACCAGCTGTATGCAGTGAACGTCCAACAGAATAAAAGATATTTGTTGATTTGGAGGGCAGGCACAGGATCGGGCTTCACACTGCACAGCACACGACAAAGAATTTCTTTACAAAATCCAAAAGGGTTTCATTTAACACCAGTGCACACTCTTCCTTTGGACGCGAGTGCATGGCACACCGCTAACTGCATCACTTCCTTTTACAGTCCTCTGTGTTTTCAGGATGAGCTGCTGCTCTCACAGTTCTTGATTGGCTGGATGCGTTCTCTTTCGGGTAACGTGGCATCCTCCTCGACCTCTCCCTGATCCGGCTGGACAAGCGGAGAGTCGGGGATGGCTGCTGGTCCCCTCTCATCATTATCATCGTCCTCCTCCTCTTCCCCCGCCTCCTTGTCCTGGCTGGCTGAGTCTGTGCCGGTGGAGGACAGCGACGCCAGCTTGTGTCTCAGGTCGGCCCGTGTGGGCACCTGAAGAGTGATCTCAGAGGTGAACGACTCCACATCAGGACCTGAGAGAGAATCGGTCAGAAAAGGGATTAAGAATGCTAATTTGTCTTCAGAAGTAAGGAACTGCTCAGACAACTTTTAGGTTATACTGGAGATCTGTTACTGTTGCTCTGCAAAATTTTGCGGGCTAGTTCCAGTCAATTCAGTAGGAATCTGGAGTTTCACAAAACGAATCTCCACACAGATTCCGTTCAAGTTAGTGGTGACCAACAGAAAGCTGCTTAATTTGAAAGTCCCGTCTTTGTGAGTTTTGCTTCATGTATCACTACATTACTGACAATGGAAAATGTATCTATTTGTCCCCAAATTTTCATCTAAATTTAGTGAAACTTTTGTGGGCAATAGTTTAGCGATGAAGCATCGCTTGCTCAGTTCCCAAAAACTGAACTCGAGTGGTGTGGATTACTTGTGAATTATTGTGATTTATCGGCTGTTTGGACTCTCATTCTGACGGCACCCATTCACTGCAGAGGATCCATTGGTGAGCAAGTGATCTAATGTTAAATTTCTCCAATTCTGTTCTGATGAAGTAACAAACTCGTGTACATGCTGGATAGCCCGAGAAAAGGTTTGCTAACGGGTGGAAAATGTTTGCAATGTTTGGAAACTTTCCAGGATTTTGGAAACTTTTGGAACGTTTTCCATAAATTGTCCAATCCTTTATAAACCTACCTGAGAGCAAGATTTTCAGGAAATTTTCATTTGGGCGTGAACTATTCCTTTAATACTGGTTCCACAGAGAAATGCATAATTTAAACATCTCAGAGCAGAACATTCGGGTTTTCATTTAATATTTACAGTAATTGCAACATGCACAAACTTTTCATGGAGTAAGGCATTTCCAGAATTCACTGCGACATGTTTAAAGTTGTATTATATAAAAATACATCCCATCTACTTTCTAAATTCGATTCATCCATGTATGTGACTTCTTTCTGGTGAAATATTCTGCATTTCTTTCATTACTCAGTATTGATTACAAAAAAAGTTATATAGAATATGCATTAATTGTGTTGACATGCTAGCATCAAACTCTCTAGTGAAATGTAATGAATATCACTATCAGATTCCATTTTAAATTAAGTTATGCTGTTTTTGTTGGTACAGTAGCTGCTTATGTAGACTGTAGACAGTGATGCAGTGCACTTGATTTTAGAACAGTAAGTCCAGTGTCCTGATGTTGCCTGTATGATCCAGAGAACTTGGCTTTCAGTGCAGCTCAATGCAATTAGTGATAATTGTAAAACCGGTTTGTTCTTCTCTGGATGCAATCAGACATCATCTCAGTGTGTTCTGCTGATGATGGCAGTAAATGTCAGCACTAATTTAATGGCATCTCAGCATTAGTGAAACTAAAGAGTTCTTTAAACACAAGAAGGGACGCAATAACAGGGAGCCACTTTCGTCATTAGCTAAGAGTGGTTTAGATCTATGGAAATCAGTCAGGCTCCACTTAAAAATGACATAACGATAGAGCAGTAACACCTACAGAGTGAGTAAAATGTATGTATACCCAGTAATGGTGAAGCCACACTGTTGTCCTCACCACCAGAGTTGAGAAAGACGTCCAACGCCTCATGGTCAGACATGTCCATCAGGTCCATTTGCTCCAGCATGTCCACGTTCACCTCCATTGATGACATGCTTCCTATTGTCTCTGTGAACCAAAGGAAGAACAATAGCATCACTTCCTGCAACCTCGCCCTTCAGTCGCTAAGATGTATCAAGGATTTGAGTCCAGGATGAACGTTTAACGCATGGAGTTGGCATCTCTGTGGACGAAGAGACCCTTCATGTGAGTCAACTCTTGCCAAACAGAAGAGCAAATTTGCTTGTGTCAGATCTCATTTGATGTACTGAGCTATGTCCTGGATTCGTCACCTTGCAGTTATGTTGACTCTGTGATGTCATTAGCGCATGCTTCACAAACACAGATTGCGGCGTGAGGCATGCCCGTCACATGTGCGTGTGTGAGCGTGACATCAGTAAGCAGAGCGGTGAACTGCGTACCTCAAGGTTGTGCAAGAGCGCAGCGGCACAGGGAGGTGGACAGCAAAGAGAGAGACATGTTAGCTCCCCTTTACAGTATTGAGACACAAACACAACCGCACACTCATACACTCAGAGAGTCTGTGTGTATGCTTTAAGAGAAATGACACAAAACACTCTTACAACACAATTTCAGTCCATACTCCAAAACTTGCCTGGTCCTTATCCGTTAAAATGAGAATTGATGTATATTCCCATCTTGATGTACGTAACAGCAATGACCCACTAGCTGATCCTAACCCTGCATTCTTAAAGGGTTAGTTCACCCCAAAATTAAAATTCTGACATTAATTACTCACCCTCATGCCGTTCCAAACCTGTAAGACCTTCGTTCATCTTCGGAACACAAATTAAGATTTTTGATGAAATCCGAGAGCTTTCTGACCCTGCATAGACAGCAATGCAACTGAAATGTTCCCAGACCCAGAAACATAGCAAGGACATCGGTGAAACAATCCATGTGACATCAGTGGCTCAACTTCAATTTTGTGAAGCTATAAGAATACTTTTTGTGTGCAAAGAAAACCAAAATAACAACTTTATTCAACAATTCTTCTCCCCAAGTTACAGTCTTCCACCATTTTGGAAAGTACCAGGACACATGCGCGCGCTTTCTCCTGAACATAAACAGTGCTGATCAGGAGAAAGCGTGAGCATGCTTTGTGGTACTCTCCAAAATGGTGGAAGACTGTAACTTGGGGAGAAGAATTGTGGAATAAATGTGTTATTTTTGTTTTCTTTGCACACGAAAAGTATCCTTGCTACCTTTCTGGACCTGGGAACATTTCAGTTGCATTGCTGTCTATGGAGGGTCAGAGAGCCCTCAGATTTCATCAAAAATATCTTAATTTGTGTTCTGAATATGAACAAAGGTCTTATGGGTTTGGAACAACATGAGGGTGAGTAATTATTGACAGAATTTTCATTTTTGGGTGAAGTAACCCTTTAAAGGAGTCATCAGAAGCAAAATTCTCTTTTACATGTTGTTTGAACATAAATGTGTGTACACATCCACCCTATAATGATAAAAATCTACCCAGTGCTTTTTATTTTTTTTAAATAATAATGATCACTTTCTCAGATCAGGCTGTTTTAAAATTCTTTGCAGAGTGACATAGTTCTGTAAAGGCCCCTCCCACAACTATTGATTGACACTGGCGCGTCCGACATCTGAGCCGCTGAAGACACAGTGGATTACATTTGTTTTTGAAGGGAATGCACCCCCGATCTACCTAAATGCATCTATGTTCGCGCGAATCATTCGTGATCCAGCCTCACCTACAGAAGAATTGAGTATAAGGGTTTTTTTAATGAATCTTTGCAAATCGCCTTTCCTAATAACATGCTAGTTAGTTAGTTCCGCAGCTAAATGCGGCTAAAGTTTACAGTCTCTCAGAGAACGGCTTGTCACGCCACTGAAGAGAGGGGCGGGGTGAGCAGAGTTCATTAGCATTTAAAGGGACATGCACTGAAACGGGTTGCTATGAACAGAGCTGTTTTTGACAATGTAGAAAAGGTGTTGCTTTACACTACCATTGAGAAATTTTAACCTAAGTATGGTATAGACTTTTCAATAAGACCCTAAAGAATCATATCAACTTGTGGAAAATGGACATCTGATGACTCCTTTAATGACCCACTAGCTGATCATAACCCTGCCTTCTTTATGACCCATTATCTGATCTTAACCCTGCTTTATTTATGACCCAGTGGCTGATCTAATTCCATACCTACTTTAGGACACACTGGCTGACCCTTACCCCACCTTCTTAATGACCCATTGACTGATCTTAATAGTGGTTTCCTAATGACCCATTGGCTGATTTTAGCCCCACTACTTTATGATCCACTGGCTAATCCTAACCCCACCTTCCTAATGACCATCTTAGCCCTCTCTTTTTAATGACGCATTGACTGATCTTAACCCCGCTTTCTTTATGACCCAATAGCTGTTCATGGCCCCTCTTACTTATTGACCAAAATGTTAATCCTAGCCTTGGTTTCTTTATGACCCAATGGTAGATCTTAGCCCTGCCTTCTTAAAAGGTGTGTTTGACATCAGATGTGTGTAATTTTACTAATTGGTGAGATTTGCCGCGTCCAGTTGGAGATACTCCAATGCTCCACAGCATTTGCATACTGTATCACAGTTGGACGTGGATTATTTCTCCAATAAAACTCAATTTTGAATTTTGCATACAGGAACCAGTATAACTGTTCATTTAACACATTTATGTGCTGCTTAATGCAGGGTCTATATTTTTTATCAGTTTTAATTTTGACACAGTGTAACATTAAGGTTACATGAAAAGAGTTTTTACTAGTATAAAAACACAGAGTTGTGAGCATAAGCAGAACTGTAGGCTTTTGGTAGCCATTAATGCAGGCAACATTACCCATTGGACTTGCAGTTCCACAACAACTCTCTTCAGCTGCTCTTTTGTACATTCCCATGCACTATGTGTCCCCTGAGCTATTGTACAAATTGACCAGTTGGAAGATGAAAGCAACACTCAGTTTATCTGATTCAAGACTGGGAATAGCATCCCCAGTGCAATATCTTGAGTGCTGTGGACCCGGCACTCTTATTTGTAATAAAGACTACTGAGTGTTTTTGTACCAGTCCATCTAAACTGACAAGGTTTGTTAAATTATTTACATGGGATACAGCATATTTACTTTTTGGAAAATAGTTTCTGTTTGTATTACTGTGTCGGGTCCAGGTTTGAGCCGAGGGAATGGGCGTAGCTCACCTCTTCTCTCTGCGATCTGTAGGTATCCTGTGGACAGGTAGTGCTCCATGTCCTGCTGAAAAGCCTCCTCAAAAAACTTTTGCCTGTCCTTTAGCTTTACCTGCGGCTGGACAGACTCTGCCTCCGGTACTCTCTGAGCATGCTCCAGCTCCAGCTCCGCTGTGATTGGAGGACAAAAAGAAAGGTGATAATACAAACTTTGTTAAAGGTTTTCTTAACCAAACCTGTTAAAACGCTCTGAAAATTAAGTCACCCATGCAAGACATTTCAATTCAGAGATGTAAACTAGCATTTCAAAAGACTTGCATACAACATACAACCATAAAAAAAGTCATAAAAAAGTGTCAAAGTCTGAGTATTCTCCAAGATATCTTTAAAGGACATAAATACAAAGATTTAGATTAAATCTCTGCTCTGCACAGCTTGATCTGAATCAGCGTATTCACAGGTAAAGAGGTGTTCTCCTGGCAAGACATAACTAGTCCACATCTTCCTAAAACTGTCTGGAGAATGCCGTCATAGCCCTGTATGCTATATGGTTTAACATGGTGACAGATCTGAATGGTCAGTTTATCTATCTAATGATTATAATATTTATTTATTTCATTTAGCCTCATTAAGGGTGCTTTAAGTAGTTTGGTTTTCATTTAAAATCATTTACACATTAGGAAATAATGAGTCAATTGGGCAAAGAGTAGAATTGTGTAAACTCACATAAGATGAAGATTGCACTCATAATAGTTTCTTATAAAGTTTTTTTTAAAAATAAATTATTAAATTATTATTAAATTAAATGGTTTATATAATTATAAAGGTCTGCGGTGTTTCACTAAACTGCTGAGAGAATCCTCGTGCTCATTGGCTGCAGCCTCCGTTAATGCTAGTAGCATAGTGTTGTTTGTAACACCGAGAGCTAAAATTGTGACCCCTGGACCACAAAACCAGTCATAAGGGACAATTTTTTTAAAATTGAGATCTGAATAAATAAGCTTTCCATTGATGTATGGTTTGTTAGGATATGACACTAAAGAGCTAAAATTGTGACCCCTGGACCACAAAACCAGTCATAAGGGACAATTTTTTAAAATTGAGATCTGAATAAATAAGCTTTCCATTGATGTATGGTTTGTTAGGATATGACACTATTTGGCTGAGATGCAACTATTTGAAAATCTGGAATCTGAGGGTGCAAAAAAATCGAAATAGAGAAAATCGCCTTTAAAGTTTTCGAAATGAAGTCCTTGCATATTACTAATCAAAAATGAAGTGTAGAATATTTACGGTAGGAAATTTACAAAATATCTTCATGGTTATATGATCTTAATATATGATTTTCTACCTTACCTAATGATTTGAGAAGAACACTATCTGTACGACTGAAGAAGCCTTAAAGGTCTAAAGCCAGAAGACAGAAAGACTGTCAAAGACAAGCGTAAACACAGTTTGCTTCATTTGTGTTGTACAGGTAAGAGAATGAATTAACTGTATAGACAGCCACTAATATCTGTGTCACGCTGACCGCTGTGGTGTACATGAAGAACAGTGAAGCTAATGCTAGCTAAAGAACTGCTGAATGCACCTTTAACAGCAAAAAACTGCAATAACAGTACATTTAAAAAAAAATGATTTCAGTATGAGTCATCAATAAGAGAGACTGTAAATTGCCTGCTAAAAGATGTTTGTCAATTTAGCAGTAGAAAACTAATTGACCATAAAACGTAACGTGTGTATGTGTGTGTGTGTGTGTTTGTGTATTGTGTTATTGTTGTATTTAATTGCTTTTAACTTGATTTAAAAAAATAACTAAATATGGCAATTTAGTGGTCAGTTTGTAAAGTGTTTATTTAAATATGTATTTTTGACTTTTAGCTTGATAATTGTTATTGATGTGGTAGGCTACTTATAGTCCTGCACGCATACTGTAAGAATCAACCACATATTCAGTAATATCTAATGACTGTGCTTGTTTAGTGTTTGTGGGAAGATGAGGGCTCTGTCTATCCCTTATTTACCAGATTTCAGGAATTCCAGGTGTCTGCATACTGTATCTCTCTTATCCTGTCTAAATTTCTCATGTCCCATTGTTTTCTGTCTATTTTACTGCCTGTTTTTGCTCTTCTGTGGGCTGAAGTCAATGTGGAAAAGTACGGCTCCTTTATTGGGCTGCAGAGACCTGACTGTGAGTGTGTGTTGCCTCAGTAACTTGATTGTGGATAAAAGTAAGTGTGCTCATATTCATTTTAGGAGAAAGCACAGATAAAACATTGCGTGTGTGTGTGTGTGTGTGTGTTGTGTGTGTTAATTAATGGCTGTGGTCATCCTGAGGGAAGCAGCTCTGGTCTCTGGTATTTCATCAAAGAGTTGTGCTCCAGTGCACGGATGTCTTTTCTTCATTTGCCATTTCATTTCACTCTTTGACCAAAGGCCTGCTCACAGCACACACACACACACACACACACACACTCCAATACACGTTTGAATAGACTCGAATCAAACTTTCCTCTGTTTTGAAGTGTGGACTAACATTCTTAATCTATGACATCTATATACCTTGTACTAAAGTAACCATTTAGCATGTCTACAACATGATTTATGTTCCTTCTGTTTCCATTTTGTAATAATTATATATTCATAATGTCACACTAATGCAAGTTATTATTATATAATGGCCCATTACATTTAATTTAATGATGCTCTGTGCATATGCATGTGTGTTTGTGTGGATGTTGTAATGTGATTATGACTAAGATCGATAGAAGGGTCTGTGCATGACAGAGTGGAATACAGACGACATGTGTGTGTTAATTAATGGCTGTGGTCATCCTGAGGGAAGCAGCTCTGGTCTCTGGTCTTTCATCAAAGAGTTGTGCTCCAGTGCACGGATGTCTTTTCTTAATTTGCCATTTCATTTCACTCTTTGACCAAAGGCCTGCTCACAGCACACACACACACACACTCCAATACACGTTTGAATAGACTTGAATCAAACTTTCCTCTGTTTTGAAGTGTGGACTAACATTCTTAATCTATGACATCTATATACCTTGTACTAAAGTAACCATTTAGCATGTCTACAACATGATTTATGTTCCTTCTGTTTCCATTTTGTAATAATTATATATTCATAATGTCACACTAATGCAAGTTATTATTATATAATGGCCCATTACATTTAATTTAATGATGCTCTGTGCATATGCATGTGTGTTTGTGTGGATGTTGTAATGTGATTATGACTAAGATCGATAGAAGGGTCTGTGCATGACAGAGTGGAATACAGACGACATGTAATATTCTGTTCTCAGCCTGCCAGACGGATTTTGCTCCCAAAGTGTCATCTTAGAGAATTTCCTCTAAGATATCACTGCTCAAAAAAACAGTTCAGCTTGTGTTAGAAGTCCAGTTCTCCTTCAGACTGTTATTTCTCTTGATAGGAGCTTCAGTCTTTGCCGCTGCTGTCCAGATGCACTGACCTGAGACTGAACCTCCTCACTTTCTCAAAGTCTTTAAGAGGACTAGAAAGTTTTGAGTTAAGAAATACAGTCTTCTAGAGGCCTAGAGAATACTGCAACTTTTATCCAAGATACATTTATAGTTTCAACATTATTTCGACAGTCATCTTTAAAAGAAAAAAAGTATCAGCTGAATGCAAAGTGACCCACATTTTGGTTTTTGCTCACTGAAAATGTGAACAATTTAACAATTTACGCATGGAGTAGCATTTAAATATCCATATCTTTGGAAAAGAACAATGTAGGCCTTAAAAATGTTTTTTAAGAACCTAAATCCAAAATAGGATATTACGATATATTTAATACTTATTAAGCTAATGTCATGCAAACTTTGGGGGAAAAAAAAAAAAAACTTGAGAAGTGCATTTTCCCTTTTTTGAACTGTCACCATTATAATGCAACAAAGATTGCTAAAGTCAACAGATTTTAATAATAGACCTACCATTGTCTTCAAAATAGTCTCCTCTACAAAATAGATTACTCAGTAAATTTTCACCCATGACATTTAATATTTTGGCTTTCATCGTTATTTATGTTTGTATTTCTTCAGAAAAGAATATACAACATTTATTTTGTTTTATTTTAAATCATTCTAAGTCTTGCGTGACCCCCTTAGAAGTTTGCTGAGGCCCTCTAGTGGGCCCCGGCCTATTAGTGGACTCAAGAATCAGTCAAGGAATGTTAGCAAAAATGACACTTTCCTGTTCTAAATTGCTTCCAATTCTTAAATTTTAGCACTTGGACAGTTTCAATATTGGACAGAGACATCTCATTGAATTTATTGTCCGAAAGCCCATTCACACCAATAACTTTAACTACATTAGCTGCATAATATCCACACAACACACAATAGAGCTCTGTTTATAGTAAGATGTAACAACATAACTGCTATGAAAGTGATCCCAATGATATAATTTCCCTGTCATTATCATTATGGTTGCACTCTACAGCGATTTTTAAAACGTTATGGTTATAGTTATTGTTATAGTTCTCATTCTTGGTGTGAACTGGCCTTTAATCGTCCACTGGAGAATCTGCAGAATTCAAGAGCTCTTGGATCCTGTATAAAAACTCCCATCTGCTCAGAGCCACAGTGTTCCCAACTTTGAATACACAGGATATTTTTGTTGTTCCAGTTATAACTTCCACTTTGGAAGAACAATTTGGGCAACATAAGGGGTCAGTTCATCCAAAAATGAAAATGCTCTCATGATTTAATCAACCTCATGTTGTACCAAACCCATGGCTTTCTATTTCTGTGGAACATAAACTCAAAAATTCAGCAACTTTTATGCTATATTTCCGGGAGACATACGATAGCTTTGTGTGAGGAAGTGAATAAAATATATATAATAATTCTTCACATGTGGCTAAGATCAGCCAATGGCTAATTAGGAGACAAGCCTTCTCTGCCTGGCATGTTCATCAGAGAAAAAAAGCGATGTTTGATTCTTAATAAGGTATTCTTTTTAAATGAAAATTTTTCATGAATCGTACTGATCAATTTGATTCACTGACTCTAAGATACAGTTGCAACTGTTCTCGAGTTAAGAGCTCACTATTAAGGGGACGATTAGTAATGAAAAACAACTTAAATTTCAACAGGTTTCTCACACAAAAAATATCATTTGGATTCATGTGGCTTTTTTTCCTTATGACCCAAATAACATACTTCAAAGGAATATACTTAAGTGTGAATTGAATGTAATGTTTTCAGATGTTTAGCTGCCTGTTAATTGCAATTA